TAATACAGTTATTTTCCATTATTTTTTCAGGTTCGTGAGGACATGCCTACTGAAGACAAAGTGTCACTTCAAGTTTCACTTATCAACCTTGCTCTGAAATGCTATCCTGATAGAGTGGATTATGTTGATAAAGTACTGCAGTACACTGCTGAAGAGTTTGGTAGACTAGAGCTTGGACAGTGAGTGTAACATAGCATCCATCATATTTTCAGTTATAAATCAAGTTGCAAAATGTTTGTAATGATGCATAGCTTTTATAAGTTGGAATATTTAATGAAAACACTTTCATTTGATCACCAGTAAACATGCTTTAAGGGGAACAAACATTTTTTATGGAATAAAGTTCAGAAGAGATGTGTTCTCAGATGGTTTTTCAAAATGAAGAATAATGATGTGATTATGGACAATAATCAATAATGCCATCTCTTCTCTTGGCCTTTATGTACAACCATAGTAAATCCATCTTATAATTATGCTGTATGGAATTTTGACAAAATTCTTTTTCATTTAGCATTGACAAGAATAATCCAGTGTCCAAGGAACTCACCAAGCTACTTAAGAACCCCATAGATTCCTACAACAATGTCCTGAAACTATTAGAACTGAAGTATTTTATCCCTATGTTCAACTATTTCGACTTTGAAACTCGTAAGGAAATGTCATTGTACGTTATCTCAAATGCTGTGGACAGYGAAGTGAACATTCCTACACAAGAACAGGTGAGTGAAACGTGCAAGGGTGCATGTCTTGGTGCTTTTGTTGTTGTTGCTATCATTGCTAATGATGATGCTATTGTCATTTATGTTGAGGTTGTTGCTGTCTCTTTTATTGTACAATTCATGACAGCAACAAACTCAACATAAATGACAACAGCATCATTAGCGATGACAGCAACACTGTGGTCACTGAACCTTGAATTTGGAAATTGCAGCAGATATAGTTTGCTGATAAACTCCTATACTCCTAGTTATAGTATATTCCTAAACTCTGTTCTTGCTTCTGTTTTGTTTGTAGAAGATGTTGTTGTGGTTGCTGTTTTTGTTACTGTTTTCTTCTGCTGATGCTACTGTATTGCTTCTGCTATTGCTCTTTTTGACAAATAGTTGTATATTCCCATTGCTTGGGTTGCCCACCCATTGTCTTCGCTGGATTAAGTTATTGGGGACGTGACTTGTGCCTGCAGCTATGTTGTTTTTGTTTTCTGTTGTTTTGCTGCTATTCTTGTTGCTATTCTTGTTGTGTTTGATCCAAGAAATTCAGCTGTTCGTGCTTATAAATCTGGCGTGCTGTATCCTTGGCAATTATTTTATTGTTGCTACATGTATGTGTGTGTTTACTTGATTGGCATAATATATGTTGTTGCTGTCAATGATATAACCATTCATTACTGTTTACATCTTGTCTTTAGATTGATACTCTGCTCACATTAGTATCAACACTAGTAACAGATCAAGAAGACCARCCAAGCGAACCAGAGGACCCAGAAGACTTTGCAGAAGAACAGAACTTGATGGGCAAATTTATCACGCTGATGAAGTCTGACAGCCCAGATCAGCAATACTTAGTAAGAGGCTTGGTGGTGTTTGATGATAAAAAGAGATTTACTATTGCTTCTAATGAAACAGTTATAAAGYGATAGGTTGTACACATCTTACTGATGTTTTAGGTGCTGTCAGTTAGAGCATTAGAGACAAGAGGCTTCGTTTTTACGCAGACAAAGAAGCAATCTCTAAAACTTCAGTGAGATTTCTGTCTTGTACAATTTTTATTTAGTAATGACTTTATCAAAACTCTTTGTGAAGAAACCTGTGGTTACACTTTTTGTTTTCCTTTGCTTTTTTTGGTTTGTTTGTTGTTTGTGTTAGTTTGTTGTTGTGGTTGTTTTGTTCTTTTCTTTCATTCTTTGAAAATGAGTTWAAAAAATTAGAAAATGTGAGTTATTTCTATTTTGTAATAAATTCACCAAATGAATAGAAAAAATACAGTGTATATCARTAAATGTTGCTCTCTTTGAAGAGTTGTTGATTTGCTGTTGTTGTTCTTTGCAGATTCTAAACACAGCTAGAAAACATTTTGGCAGTGGCGGAGAAAAAAGAATAAAGTTTACCCTACCCCCCATAGTATTTAGTGCTTATCAATTAGCTTTCCAGTATGCAAGTGTCAAAGAAGAGGTAAAGAAACAATTTTATTAACTATCCTCACTTATATAAAACTTAATATTAAACTTAACTCTTCTTTGTTATTTCAGTTAAATTTATCTTTACCATTTTCATTTTGATTGTATTGCTTGATTGTATGTTATGTTAGGCAAATAGTGTTATTGTAAATAACACTAGCAGCAAAGCTATTTGCAGGTCAAGACTTACTTTTGTAATAATTGTGTTATATATTTTATAAATGAAATTGAATTGAATTGAATATTATCTACTATAAAAATACTTATAATCTAAATATTTATTCTCATAAAGGATGATAAATGGGAAAAGAAATGTCAGAAGATATTCCAGTTCTGTCATCAAACGATATCTGCTTTGGCAAAGGCCGATTATTCTGAGCTTCCTTTGAGGTTGTTCTTACAAGGAGCAATGGCTGCTGGAAAAGTTGGTTTTTCAAATTGTGAGACAGTTGCTTATGAATTCATGAGTCAGGTGAGAAGAAAATTCTTGTGTTAATGTAAAAGTATAATGCATGTAATGTAGAAGTGTTTGTGAAATAGGGGTGCCAGCAATGTGGAAATTCAGTTTCTTTGTCTTTTTATTTAAAATGTTATTCATGGCAGGAACAATATTGACAGTGAKTGCAGTTTCACTAAGAACTCGACATTTCTTCTTCCTTCGAAACAGGCATTCTCAATATATGAAGATGAAATCAGTGACTCCAAGGCTCAGCTTGCTGCCATTACCCTCATCATCTGTACGTTTGAACAAATGAGTTGTTTTGGAGAAGAAAATCATGAGCCATTACGTACCCAATGCGCTTTAGCTGCATCTAAACTACTCAAAAAACCAGACCAGTGTCGTGCAGTTGGAGTGTGCTCGCATCTCTTCTGGTCGGGGAAGAGTAAAGATGTTGACGGTGGAGAGGTACACAAATAACTCTAGTTTAATATTGTTACAACTGTGTTACTTAAGAACTGATGCAAGATATCAATTTTTTTAGTGCCGTGATGGAAAGCGTGTCATGGAGTGCCTTAAAAAAGCTGTYCGCATTGCTAATCAGTGTATGGATTCTACCGTCCAAGTACAACTATTCATTGAAATATTAAATCGTTATCTCTACTACTATGAAAAGAATGCCGACTCGGTAAGTGCAATGTACATTGGTAATGACCACATTGCTGTGAATCTCAAAGCTGTGACCAGGCAGAATTATTTGAAATGTGTATTCAAGAAATGACTTAAAGTAGATGGCACACAAGAAAGCTACAGTAGCCTCTGCAAGCAGTTGTTTCTTAGCGGTTCAATTTTCTCACCCACAATCAAACTGCTAAGAGCGTCTGCTTACRGAGGCTACAAGAAAGCAGGATGAAAAAATATGCCGGTACATATATAGGAACAAATTTTTTATTTTCCATGAAGAATAAAATAGTACTATTTGTGGGCTATTGTTTGGTGGCAAACTTGCTTATTTGTGAAGCATGTGAAAAAGCATTTAGTTGATGGTCAATCTCGCTTCTGAATTGTCAGGGTTTTTAATTTGCACTGCAGAAAAAGCTGTAAATTATCTATCAAAAACGATGACTACTGTATGAAGAAAGCAATAGTTGATACCAGTGAACACCTGAAATACAGTCAGTAACATGCTTAGACATTTTCACTTAGCATTTAAGTGAAATCATATTTTGTAGTATTTTAAAAACTCTCAAACGTTTCTCACATTAGGTGACACCAACAATTCTAAACCAACTTTTGGATAAAATACGTGAAGACCTTCCAGGACTTGAAGAAACAGAGGAGACAGACCAAATCGCAAAACACTTCAAGAATACAATCTCTCATGTTGAGCTCAAGAAAAAATCTTCYGATGAAGTATCACCCTCATTTGAAGGGCTTTCAATCTAATCAGTGCTCGTCTAGGGTAATTTCACATGGGGGGAGGTGGATATTCATCAATGGCAATCCYTGCACTGTGCCGTGCACTGTAATGTGTTATATAAATATGTATATGGTGGAAGAACTTGTCGTGGAAATGGCACAGTGTTTTATAGATCTTTGCTAAAAGGTTCACTGGCAATATAATATGTTTAGTGTTGTTAGTGTAAAATGCTTTGGTTTTAGTTTTTGTCCAATTTTCCTCATCTGTTTCCCGTCATAATATGTCTGGTTTTTTTTAAGAAAAAATTATATAGAAAATRAAACATTTAATTCTTTGTAAGAACAATATTATTGTTAAGTGTATCAATCATAGTACTTGAAATAAATTCTCAAATGATTGCCATTTATTGTGTTTCTTTTCCTAATTGGTTTTCCTTGCAAAACAGCAATTTAAATATACATCAACCAAACATGGGTCCGGGGGGTGATCAGGGTGGCTGGCCACCCCCTGTTTTTGGGTTCAAACATGTAGAAATTATGACATAAATTAATAAGCTAAAAAATTACATCTTGTGTAGAACGAAGTCTATCCAGTTGATATAACGCACTTAAACGCAACTGGAATGAATCCGACTGAGTACATGATTGGGATCCCTTTGTTATCCAAACAGAGTAGACCCGAAACTAGTTTAATCACGTSATAGCCTCGCGGTGATTTCAAAACTTCAGTTTGTCGAACCGTTCGAAAACCTTCGTTCCAACTGATTTGTGCTCGGAAAATCTTTGATTTTAGCTAAAGAAAGAAGGATTGATGGTTTAAAACACTTGATATGGATCCAGCTACATTTACCCAAGTAAGTAGACATATATTTTACCGTCTTTGTAGRAATTTTGCGTGTTTCTGGGGCCTTTTATTGATCGGGTGTTAGAAAGTCAAATTTGAAATGTTCGACTTGTTTTGATTGAATATTCTTGAAGATTCTCGATAATATTTACCTAGATCTTACCATTTCAATATTTAAGGAATAAAATACCTTTTTTCCTTGAGGTTTGTAGTATTTGTACTGGAATATTTGTCAGAAATTTCAAAAAATCGTCATTTGTAATTAATTTTCTTTGTTTTCGAGGCATGGTAGAATAACTTCTTTCAATTTTTTCAATAATGGATTCCTCTCTGCTTRAGTCTGAATGAAAATAAATTAATTTTCAATGAATTATATATGTTAACTGATCGAAATGGCGCTAGATTTGGCTCTTGATTAACTCTTGATCATCTAATTTGGAACGAAATATGTGGGGAATTTTTTCCGTTGAATTGTTGAAGCACATGACTAYTTTTGTACACATTTCAAAACMACTTCCGTTATATCGCCGAAGATATCTAGTTTTAAAAACAACTAAATATGCTTCAGAATTATTGCAGTATTTGAACCATGCCACGTAACATTAGTTCATGTTGGAATTCATTTATATTAATAAGTACACTGGAATAAACGGTAGAATGTTCTTGAAGAAGTATYATCTTGAAGTACAGTTATGTGATCGCTTTCCACTATTCATGTGACTCAAGTACATCGAACATACATTACATAAATATTGACATAAGGTCAAATGATGCACCTACATGCACAAGGGCCAGGGATGAACTCAAGAGTCTGTGTGATGAGGGACATATAGCAATGAAAAGTAGAGAGGGAAGGCTGGAGCAAAAGATATAAAACAATGAATGAGACTAAATCATATATGAAAGGTATATGGGAGATTTGAGGTCTGTTGTTGAGATGTACAGTTTCAATATGATTTCATCATTAATTCATTAGAAACTACTTGAGAGAACACAAGCTCGCAAAGAAGCCCTCAAAAAGAAGAATGAAGAATTCAATGCCTGYCGCAACAAAAGGGTAGCTCCTCCCACACCGTCATCACCAGCTAAACCSCCTAGACGWCCACTAACTGAAGACAACAGTGATTCTACAACTCCAAGCAAACCACCAAGAAAGATGCTTTGTAATGACAAGAAAGAAATCATTACTCCAAGCAAAAGACGACCAATGTCAGAAGATAACTGYGAAGGTGGTTTACCTGACGAGGCTTCACGAAGAAGAATTGTCAGTGACAGCAGTGTCCCAAAAACRCCCACAAGAGTGACWGTTACTGCGAAGGTACCAACCACACCCAAGAGTACTGCAAAACTGCCATTTTCTGATAGGGCTCCATCAACACCGACCTCTGTYAGTAAAGTGAGAGCTGGGCTTGAAGTGGATGCAAGCAGCAGTCCATCTATCAGGGTGATTATTYATTGATTTTACTCGCTGAAACAGATGTCTTCTTGTCTTAAAATGTCTTTTTGATTAAAATGCTTCATTATAATACTATTGTACAGTTGTGCATTATACAAAAAAAAAACACTGTAAAAGATTTACAGTGTAAAAAGCTTCAATACATTGGTTTATTTCTGTATTTATTTCACAGCAAGAAACCAAGGTATGATCTTTTTTATATTTATTTGAACAACATTGTTTGGTGCATCAAGTAGAGACTTCTGAGTCACTGAGCAGCTGCTCTAAACTTGAGGAATATGATAAACGAGCTGTTATAAACACACTAGCATCTTATTAAAGTGAAGTCATTAAACCTGTGAAACATAATTTGACTATTTAAGTGTGATAGTCAATTAAATACACACAAAAGGAAACAATGCAATTACAGCATACTAAGGTGTATTAGTGTAATAACTATTTCACAGGATTTTATGACTTCATTTTAAAGGATGTTCATTCTTTTTGATTTTGGATGAGATATTCATGTTAGAAAGCTCTACTTGTATGCTAAGATTTATTATTTCATATCAGGCGCGCAAAGAACAACTTATAATGATGCAACAGAAAGATCAGRAAAGTTGTGTCACACCAAAGAAACACTGGAAAAAAGCTCTGGATATGACTGAAACTAAAAGCCCAAGTGTGGCTGCCAGATCRGCCATCTTTGAAAACAATAAGGTACCTTGATTTGTTGCTCAAAAACATTAGCGATACACATAGAAGAGTGACACAGAGTTTATGACTTGGCTGAAACACTATAAAATACATGACAGCACATTGGAACATCAGAACTTAATTCCCAAGGTCCTTAAAACAGGGTTTGTGCTACTCCTTGAAATGTCCTGGAAATTGAATCTCGTTTTCAAAATCACTAAAACTCCTGGAAAACTCATTTTATTTTAAAAATTAAATTAATTTAAATATCTGATGAAATTTTAGCTTTTGGATTGAAGAGTGGCTGTTTTTGAAAATCGCCACTGGAAACGTTCGCAAACATTATAAAATATCTTCAAAAATAGTCCTTGAAAATCGCATTCTTGTGGTTAAAAAGTACTTGAATGAAAAGTCCTGGAATTGGGTAGTGAAAGTGTAGTACAAACCCTGTTAAAACTAACTGTAGACTAGGTTTAGAAAGGATAAAGTGATTGTAAGAATAGAAAAAAAGTATGCAATTGTCTTTTCTCTGTACTTTAATCCATTAGATAGTTAAAACCTTTCTTTTCAAATAGCCGGATTTTGATTTGCTGTCTTGGCAATGTCATCGTTATTTTCAATTCTTGTTTTGAATATAAGGATTGTATTTTTTGCAAAATCTTACATTTGAATAATTTCAGGAGAAAGGTCCAGTCCAAACAATGTCCACCGCAACACCAGGAAAGGTCTCAGCTAATAGAGGAGTCTTTGAAAAGCAAGACTCAATAGAAGCAAAACCTGCATCCAATGCTCCTCCAAAGCCACCAAGAGCAACAACCGAAGCTGAAAAAACTTTACATAGAGAAAAAAGCTCATCAAAGAGGAAAGCTCCACCACCTCCAGCAAACGTGACTGATGGTCCTGCATGTAAAACAAGAGATGAAGAAGTCAGTTGTGATTACAGTGTCATTTCAGCAAGKAATAGCACAGAAGAAGTGCCTTCAAAGAAAGAAAAGAGGACTGAGGGAGAGRCAGCATCTCAGAAACCAGTCAGAACTACTGTTGAGGTTGTCATGGAACCTGTGGCAAAGCCTAGGAAGAGAACTCAAWATGAAGAGACCAATATTGAAAAACAGAAGATTATTAAAGACATTCAGGATCTTGAAGAGCAGAGAGCAAGACGAAGAGAAGAGAGAAAGAAAGCCAGAATGGAAATGAGAGAAAGGGAGGATGTTGTGGTTGCRAAAGCACAAGGAGTTGAAGAKAGTCGTGCAACAAGAAGCAGTCRTGTTGAGGCTRTTGCTGTTCATGTAACTGAAGTATCRAGTCCCCAGAGAACTGTTCCRAGACCAAAACCAAGAGTCGAGGTTGTGTCAGACTYGGTGAATGCTAAAAACACAGGCTACAAAAATACATTTGATGACAAAAAGACGGATAAAACTMAACCAGAATGTGAAMCTGTTTTGCCCAGTTCAACACAGRCAGCTGAACCRGAAAAACCTGTTATTCARAAGGACAATGAAAATGTRAAAATGCTGGCAARGGATGAAAAAGAATTCATTCCAATGGCTAAACATGTATCAGCTTCTCATCTGAGATCAACTGAGAACCTSCATAGATACGGTTCCCTTGGTGACATGTATCCAGGAACRGAYGGCGCACTAGATGATACAATCAATCTCAACGATGTGAATATTCATGAGATGACTTTTACTTTTGACTTCAGTAATTTTGACAAAATCCAGGAAGACAGAGAAACTAAATTCCAGAAAAGTTTTAATGAGACACAGCAGGAGGTAATAATTTTTTTCTCCTTTTCACCATTACGCTATGCTTCTTTAATTTTTTCTTATCCTCTTTTTTAATACATGTATTTTCTCTCTCATTTTTCATTTTTCTCCTTCACCTATTTCTTCTTTTTCCTTTTCCAACTTCTTTCTTCTCATTTCTCTATAAATACTAGTTTGCCTAAAAGTTCTTTCTAAAGCTTATATAATATGCTACCCTATTCCTTTTCTTCACTTCTTTTGCTTTGTCAGGCTATGTTCATGAATAAACATCAAAACTGTTATTGAATTTTCCATGAAAAGAATGGTAGTTACATTTAACAATCCCCTGAGTTTCTAATAACATTGGTTATTTCTTTACAGCTCGAGAAAGAGAAAAGCAAAGAACCTAAATCAATGGAGATTGAGAAAGTAAAGATGATTGCACATCAACCAAGACCAACAGCAACAGTTGAAGAAAAAAACAATGGAGTCTTTAAGTCAGGGTATAGCATGGATGCCGATGACCAATATGCAACAAAAGTGTACAAGAAGGAAAGACCACCAGTGCCAGAACGACCAAAACCAACGCAGGAGAAGATAAAGGTGCGAAAAAATGTCTTTTTGGAAGAATAGAACTTGACAGTAATGAGTTAACTTAATGTTATTTTATTGATGTTTGAAGGATATTCTTGATCAAGCAGCTTCGCACCAGAATATCATTTTACAGACGAGTCAAGCTTTGAATGTCTGTGAGTCAAACAATGACATCTTCAAGGGTTCGCAAGAAGAGATTGAGGCAGAAAGGGTGCTTCTCCTTGCATGTGAGCATAAGAAAATGATTTATATATACAGTTGTGAACAGATTTTTATCATATGTTTTATGTAATATATACAATATGAGCGGGCGATCTGTATGAGGATTTAAAACAGCGAGCTGAAAGCGAGCTGTTTTAAACCTCATACAGATCGCCCGCGAATATTGTATATTACTTATGAAACGTTGAGGTAAACTAGCTCAGGTTTTAAAGAAACTTTTGAAAAAAAAATCAATCTGACCAAGAAAATCAGAGTTAAAGTTTATGCAAATGAGCAAGAAATCTGTATGTAATATACAACTCTCTTCATGGGCTATGATTTCTATTGTGTTTTGCCTTATGAATATTAATGAGTTTTATAACTTCCATTGCAGCTGAGCGTAAGCAAGCTTGTTTGAATGAGCACCACAGACTAAAGTCAGGACGTAAAGAGAGCAAACGAAAGCATCATATTGACCCAAAGGCCTGCTCCTCAACAGTTTCTCTCTCAGGTATGGCAAGAAATGAAGAGATTTCAATAGTTTTTGTATCATAATTTATAATCATAAAGTTATGTTTTAATTAAACAGGTATCCGTTTAGCTTTGAAACAAGAATTTATGGATGTGCTCAGAGTTGGTATCAGAAATGGTAAGTAGGAAGTTTAGTTTGTATTTTGATAAGATAAATTCAACAAAGCTTCCTGCCGGGTGCCTGGGGAGAGGAGGAAGAGGAAAACAAGTGTCCTTCCTTTTATTTCCCTGTTTTTCTCCCAAAGAGTCTGATTATCAGGTTGTCAGTAACCCATTACACTTAAGGCTTGTAGTTAACACAGTTTTCTCTTCTTTTGAGGAAAGTAGAGTCATTTTTTTGTTTCTTGTTTTCAGATCTTGGTGTGTTCCATTTTGTATGCCATGTCCAACAAGGTCCTCTTRAGATTACATCAACAAAGACCTTGTCTATCCATGACTGTACTAGCGATGGCGGAAATTTCCTTACATTCCCGGACAAGTTTGTAATGTAAGATACTTCTTCATAAACTTATTTGACCATCCTTTCAGTTTTCCTTTGTCCAGTCAGTCATTACATTTATTAATCTTTTCATGCATTCATTTGTTCATTTATTMATTTTATTCATTCTTTTGTTCTTCCATTCATTTGTTCATCCATTTACATTAATTGAAGCTTTGCATTTATGCAGGAAGAACCTCAATCCAGACTTCAACATTGTAGTCAGAGTGTTTGGAATGGTGAGAGCTGACTTTTTTCATTTTTTACCATTTCTTTGGCAAGTGGACATTGTACATATTTATATAATCTTTGTTTTTACAGCATGTTCAAAAGTACAATCCTTATACTGCAAACACAGCACAGAAACACAAGTTCTTTCAATCCCCCAAAACAACTAAAAATAAGGTAAACTTATTGTTTATTCATCACTGTCAGTATGTCTGAAATATGTACATCAATGGAAACTTATGTGATCATGCTCGCAACAGCCACAGATAGGTGATTTAATAAAAGATTATTCCATGTTTCTTTATAGCGAGGAGTCCCTGACGGTTCTTCACCTAGAGGAGCAGAAGCCATGCCCGTGTTCAGAACATCAAACTTTAAACTTGTTGGATCTACAAGAATTACTCTTCCTAAAGTCAACTCAAAGAAGTGGGTTCTTGATGGGCTTGTTGAAGGCTGTCCATTGAAGGAGACAATACAGATGAAGATTCATTGTATGCCGCAGTATACAAGCTGTGTGAAGGGATTTTTGGTAAGATTTATACACATTTATCGATACTCAAAATTTGCATAAAGACATTTTGCAAGCAGCTTCATCTGGGAAATGGAAAAACAACATTTGCTGTTCTTAGAAAMACTTTGCTCCCCCAGATGAAGCTGCACAACTTTTAGCTGCAAAAGATTTGCAATAAAGATAACAATAGTTTAATAAAATAATAATTATTCAATAATATGTACGAAATGTACTAAAAAAGTGTATAACGAAAATGAGTCAAGTATTCCTTTCCTTGTCTCTCAGACTAYCTTAGAAGATGTTGGTGGTTACAGCGCATGGCAAAGACGGTGGTGCGTCCTTGARGGCGGAATGCTCTCCTATTGGAGGTATCCAGGCGACGAAGCTGATAAGGTAACGCTTGTCAAAGCTAAATACCAGTAGAAAATGATCATCTACACCAATCTGTTTCGCTTTTATATGCCCGTAATTATATTTCCTCGAGAGAAAAGATTGAAGTAACGAAAAAAGCGAAAATAATTGACATCTTTTAAAGTTTTGTCGGCATGAGGAGTTGGTTTACCATCTTTGGAACAGTTGTGTAAAAAGATAAATTTAACACCGTAAAAATGTATGTGAAATAACTTACTGACGTTTCGGACGTTAAGGATTAACGTCCGAAACGTCAGTAAGTTATTTCACATACTTTTTTTATCTTTTTACACAACTGTTTCTTTAACCGACGCAGCTCACACTAGTTTACCGCTAGTTCCCACCATTTTACCATCTTTGGSATTGGGGAGGTGAATTTTTAAATTAATCCTGGTATTCCGGACCGTGTTTACAATTTAMAATCACAACTGATTCACTGTGTATAATATCATAGACTCCCCTGGGTACCCTGGACATTGGCCAGTGTRTTAGTGAACGCATTGCAACAGTTCCTAGAGATCTTTGCGCTAGACCTAACACTATTGAAGTTGCTATGAAGAAAGRCGACAACGAGGAATACAAGTAAGTATCAATGCTGTGATTGGCTGAATTCAGAACGCTCTGATTGGCTCTGTCGTGAAACGTCATGAGGTGTGCGATCTGATTGGTACATATAACAACGTAAACCTGATTGGCTARAATGCATGCTGTTCGTGCTCGCGCTTTTCCCGCGCTTTTCTTGCATTTTAATGAATGATTCGTACTGAAGACTAGCTCACGCGGTTTTGCTCCCGTAGGAAACGCTGCAGTAAAAAAAAAACACTTAACGATTCTTTTCTTCCTTGTTTTCAGGTTTCTTCTCGCTTGTGATACAAAAGAAGATCGTGTTACTTGGCTTGATTGCCTGAATGACGCTCTAACAGACATGAAGGCCTGGAACTCAAACAACAACAAGGTCTTGTACCCTGAGATAACTCGCTCGGTCGACGAGAAAGTGCATATGTGTTGAGAAATGCCTGGCATTACACAATGTGAATATGAACTGACGCAATGCTTGCAAGATTACAGATAAAGAATGGAATCACAAAACAAGCGAAATGAATTCATATCTTGCGAAACCAAGTGCACTTCTCACAAACACTGGAAAAAATCGCGTGCTTTAAAGGTCGTAAATTTGATGTATATATGATGTAAGTGTCCAAAATGATGTAAATTTGATGTAAATCATTTCCATCAAATTTTCATCAATTCGGACACTTGCATCATATTTACATCAAATTTACAACCTTTATAGCGCGCGATTTTTTCCAGTGAAACGAGAATAAAAACGAACTTTATATTTTAGCTCTCAAATCTGCGCGGATAAAAGATGTAATATAATAATGAATAATATTAATTTTAAGTTCAAGGGGGTGACGCTTTCGTAACTAAGCTATGTCAAGAGTGGGTACTACCCTCGATAGTTTTGCGATAATTTTCTTTTGCAAAATCGGCTCCCAGAATGCACCGGGTGTTTATACCCATGATAAACCAAGCACCAAAATACATTTGAAACAAAACTCTATATTCAATAAAGGGCCAATAAATAGATATTTGCAAAGTATCAAAAACCTTAGTTAAAAATCAGATTTATTAGTTAATATTGTTATAAATTGTAGTCATTTTTATATTATAGATAAGTCACAAATGTGAATTTTGAGTTGGAATTTTCCTATGTTTTTGCAGTAGAATCTTTTACCACTTGATAGCTGGCCAGTTTGTTTATTTCTTCCTTTGCCGTTACGAAATGAAACGTCAGAATAGTGATGCCATAAATCCGTGAAAAAAAACTAGACTTTAGTATAGTGGCACTGATCGCGTCGTTCACGAAACAGCTCGATTTCCCATTTTTGTCTTCGCCTAAGATGAAAAAAACTAATGCAAAAATACGGCAATTGTTGGATATTAACTAGTTGTGTTTCGTTTTCTTGTTTTGTGTTTTTCGGTTGAGTTTTTAACGGATGCGTGGCGCGCACGCTAAGAACTACACACTAGGGTCAAGCCATCAATGACCAGGATGGACGCCATCTTGAAATACGCTCATGTATATACACAATTCAATTAGATTTTAGCACAGYACATGGATAATTATTAAAAATGTTTAGCACTTTATTCATTGTCTTGTTATGTTATTCTCTGTTTCGTTGACCAAACTGAAAAATATATTCAACATTCTCACTTTGCGTCAGTTCAATCAAATTTATTCAAATATCAAAATATCTTCTTGCAATAAATATGTACAATTCACTCAAACCCTTGCCTCTAATAATGTGGCGGCCATCTTGAACTTTTATTGCTTTTCTAAAAATTCTGTGTAATGGCTATCAAAGTATTTTAACCTCAAAGTTTATATAAAATTACATTTGAGCATGCAATTTCGGATGAATTCTTGGACCTAAAAAGAAAATGATGATGGTATTCAAGATGGTCGCCAATTTATTTAAGAAAATGGCGGAAAGTTCACCGCAAAACCGTAGTGAAGGGCAACGTTAAGCTCGACATGAATATCAGTGTCACGTTTCTTCTAGTACATCACGAGAAATTGGGAAAATAAGCTGATTTTATGTCGCGAGAACAAGCCTTCYAAGTTTATCTACAGACACGAAACTCATAAAAAGAAAACGCATTTGTATTAGAAGAATTTGCACGTTTGTCGTGATTCGAGTAAAAAGCAAATGATTTACAACAATTCAGTAAGCATGTCCCAGTTTCTTTTCAATGAAAGCATCTTGGAATTGCTATAAACCAATTTGTTTTGATTCAATTTGCACCAAACTTCTAAATCCTGCCACTCTAAATGCATTTTTTGCTTTTTGTGTGAGTTTTGTATCGTTGGGATACTATAAGGGGACTTGTTCCCATGCCCCACGAAACTTGGATACACCTAATGAGGTGTCATTCATTCTATTACCCATAAACCTATAAGCGCATTCATTGTCATTCCACCACGAGTGGAAAAACGTCGTTGAAATAAGCCTGGCTTCACAGTGGACGATATATTTGGTCATTATTAGAAGATTTCACCCTGTGTGAGCTTATTAAAGTCCTTCGGTAGCAGTAGCTTGCTCAAGGCATAGTTTGTAGAGGGAAATTTCCCTTTATTAACTATGCTCAAGGTAAGTTACTCTGTCAAGGTCGTTTTATACATCAATTTGACTTAGAATAACAACATCACATACAACTTGCTAACGACTCTGGTAGCAAGAGCGAGTGGTAGGCTTAAAATGAACTACGTCATTCGTTTTTCGATGATGCATTCGACAATAAAGGCCAAAGCGAGTACAAGTTATTGCAAYATTGGATGTAATTTTTAAGATAAATCGTCGTAATCCGTCCATTTCTTTCCATCYTACTGYTTCTTTTTATTTATTCCCAGTCCCAAGGGATTGTTATACGTCCATCTTCAGAGACGTGATAGTATTTCGATACAGTCAGGTTTGTGCCGTGTAGCTCTTCAAACGGGTGTCTTATGAGAGCCTCCAAACAGCTCAACATTTGGGATACGGAAACAGATTCGTCTTTCGTCAACGATTTCAGCTTCAAAGCTGATATGCACTTTTCATTCATTTCTTTTTCTTTTGATACGTTTCTAAATAAAAAATAGGGGAAAAAAGAATTTATAATTACAATAATTTAGCCATCACKTGATGATACAAGAAGCCAAGAATCAAATGCTGTGAAAAAAAAAACAATTCAATGCCAATTTAGAAAGCAAGTATAGTGTCAAAAAGCCATTTCAATGGCAGTATAAAAAGCCAATCAAATGTCGATAGCCTCTAAAGATTGACATAGCTAGCCTAGGATTCTAAAATCTAGCCATTTCTAGTCGAACGCCGACTGTCCGCGAACCAATGGTAGAACATCGAGTGCATACTTACCGAATGTAATCGTTCTTCACTGCAATGGACTTCTCTTTATTCTTCAATAGAAAGTCCAGAAGAACATCTGATGGTGTCGAAGCAGGAATGATGAACTTCCCATCATTTGATAAACTTAAAGAACTATTTGGACTGAAAGAAAATAATATTGCTTRAAAATTCATTCTATCCAAGAATCAAGGCAACAAATTTTTCAGGACATACCTGAAGACWTTACATTCGATGTTTTTGAAAGAGCCAGGTAATAGTGGGTGACCCACCCTGCCAAACCTAGAGCGTCTAAGGGCCATAACTAGTCTGTGTAAATAGTTTAAGTACTCGAGTACCCCGAGGGACGGGGGAGTTGCTGGATCGTAGACTACCTCGATRTTGCCCAATGGTTTWGAAAGTCTCTTTTCCCATAAAGGAACTTGGTGAACGAGGACGTTGTAGTCTTGAAGTGTATTAAATAGCTARGAAAGTAAATACATGAATAAATGAGAAAAGAATGGGATAGATGGATGAAAAAAGGGAAAAATGAAAAAGTGGTGAAAAAATAAATGGATCGATCACCATATTAAATGAATTATAATGAAAATAGAAAAGAAAGAAGAATGTCATCATTTTAAAACTCTTTCAGTTCCTGTACACCTCCGCGCAGTTTTAGCTCAAGCGTRGGTGTTCATAGATATTGCATAAATCTTACCCTTATTCACGACCATCTGCGGTTGGTTAAATCATATGGTCAATCAAAGTTAGGCAGAGTTTAGAAAAAGATAGAAAGAATAACGGAAGTATAAGCAGTAGAATTCAATATCTACATTGCATGCAGATTGACAATATGAAGCCATACTTTTCGCTCGTTAGTCAAGCATAGTTGTCGTTCGTTTACTACACTTTGCATTACAWAACTGTCCGCAAATGGATTAAACAGTACAAAGGAAACCACTGAATCGTTTACATGATGTYAAGACAAAGTGTTTTTAGTAAAGAAAGTTACTTACAGATAACCAAAACTGCGGTACGTCCTCAACACCAAGCATTACATTCCCACGTGGGTCCACACCAGTCCACCTCGTCAAAACCAAAGACCGACCGGYAAGACTCAATGTATCTGACTTCTTGTCCTTTGACAGCTGAAGCAAATTCTTCAAAGATCCTTGGCACGCTGTACARCTCCAACCACAGTCCAAGCTAAGATCCGCMAGTCCTAACTCATCGCAAACTTGACGAGAAAGAGACATTGCTTCTTCGTAAGACTTCGCGCTCTGTTCAAGCTTTTCTTTCGCTTTTTCGATTTCATCTTGTAGGAAAGTTTTCAAAGTCAGTTGTGTCTTCTTCTGAAATTCTCGGTCGTGGTTGTTTCGTCTTTCACCGTATTTTCTCATCACTTGAAGCCAGTCCAGCGGACCGCCGAACGGCGAAGGTAAATCGTTTGATAACGTGTCATTTGTACCGTGATTTAGTTCCTCGTTCATCCCACATGATTTGAGTATTTGATTAATGGTGAAGTAAAGATCCCGTGAAAACAGAGAAATTCGCACTGTCTTGAACTTAATATCTATGATGAGAGAGGAAACTGGAGGTTAGTATTAAATCTTAAAAAATACGTTCGGTTTTATCGCGAAAAGGCTACTCCATCGCARCTATGATGAATATTAATACGTTTAAACATTTCGTTCCTTTGTGGTGAAAAATAATTATTTTACAAAGATATTGRATATCTCATTAGATTTCACTAGAAATTTACAAACCCCGCTGAGCAAAGCTTTTTTTAAACCAATTTTCTTTTTGGTATGTAATAATAATGTTTTTATATTTGATTTGAGTCCCACCGGACCGTGTACCGGAAAATTTCACGCATGAATTATATCTCTCACGCACAAARAATAAAAGCTACCGTATTTTAAGGTAAAGGAACGTTAACACTTCAAACTTGATAAGGCAAAACCTAATTCAGTGTTTTCGTAAATTATCACTATCTTTTTGGTTCGTAGTTGGGCCATTACTGCGTTACCTTGACAGCGATTGACGTTCACGCCATGGCAACCCTCATCATTCTTTAAATAGAACGTCAAATGTGTAGGATAAACTGGGAACTTATTTTCTAGATTATCGATGTAGGAATTCAGGCGCTTCAAGGAATCTTCGTTTATCGCCTACGGAAAAGAAAGTTTTTTTTTTTTTCATTTTCAAGGATTAAGATAGCGCGCGACGCTGTCTGCATACGCGCCGCAAAAATCCGAAATATACTTGAATAAAAAACTTGAATGATCTTGATCTCATTGTAGGAAGGTAAAGATACTTAACTCGCAAACGAACTTACCCTCTGTGTTGGGAACTGACCAAATAAATCCGGGTGCACCGCAAAATAGAATGGCTTCAAAGCAGCTTTACTTTCAGCGCGAGACAGCAATCTTGCTGAAACTCTTGAGCACACAAAAGGACGAACTAAAGAACTGAAAATAGAGAAACGGAAAGTAAAATTTGGAAGCTGGCCAAAATTTGAACGCGTCTTTTGCTGAAAACTGTCAAAGTTCAGTTTGTATACAGTYACAACATAGAAGTAAAGTTTTGAAAAATCTTGGAAGACAATTAAATTGTGAAAATATAACAAATGGGATATCAGTCAACACAATGTGGCAAGAATGAAACTAAAAAAGAGCAAAAAATATATAAAATCAATTAGAATTGAGATACAGAAAAGTTAAGGAAAAACTCCGGAAATACATATAGCGTTCGGAAGTTTTGTGAGAAAAATAAGGATATACAAAACAAAACAAAATGTTACAATGTAAGAAACGTTATTTCAAATCACGTTACCACTGGCTTTATAGTTTCAAACGCATGATGACATGATATTTTGATCTCCTAGAAGCCGGAAACTTTTAAGTTCTTTACAACATTGAAATATTCTAACCTTTTACCAAGGATTTCCTTTGACAAGGAAAACATTTCCAATTGAAAAGTAACAGAACGGGGAACGTAGAAATCTTCTGCTAGCAGTTCACGTCTAAACACTAATGTGCGCAGAAGAGCATATCAACAAAAACCAAGAGAGATTTTAATAAAACATTAGTTAATTGTTTACAATTTACGTTTGCTTTTCGGACTTTTCTCCAATCAGCGTCTTCTGAGAATGTATAACTGGTGTTGAATATTCTAATAGACTGAACAAAACTCATTCCAAACTTATTAATATTTATGACAAAACATGCCATAACACGAACCGCCAAAACACATCCAATCAATTTTTGCAATGAAAAGGACTGCTTGCGAATCTCCTTGAGAGACAAACACATTTAAAATGTCGCTAAAATAGTGTTTTAAAACTGTACTTGACTTGAAGATAACGTGACAGAACAAAAATAAATCATTTTTAATTCTATTTMAATGAAAATATTTTGGATACAACAAGAAAAACAGCAAGAAACGATGAACGAACGAAATAAAAAATGAAATAKAATAATAAAATAGAAAAAATGAACAGAATAGAATCAATCCAATCCGAAAACACCTTGAATTCATATTATTCGTTACCAAAACAGGAGCGTAAAGATACGGCAGAATAATTAAATGTTATCACATCTCAGGCAGCCCATCCAATCGGTTTTGTAAATCCTTGGAAAAGTTTCAACACCATTTGTTTAAACTTTTACACTGTACCTCAATTAAAAAAACTTATGCCTTTCTAAGAGACAAGGCTCTTTCGCTTCACAACATTATGATTATTTATTCGTCACAGCGAAGAAAGTGTGATCAYGTGACTTTGTATTTTGCTTTTCGTAGATCAGAACATTCCCTCACCCCTTTGAAACATCATAGATGCTGTAAGATCACCATTTGAACCTCAATTGGGGTAAAAAAATACTGGAAAATTGCCTAAAAGCCTGCAGATTTACACGTAGCCAAAAGGGTCACGATCTTACCGTTTCAAATATCGTCGAAGCATTGCCAATATTTCGTTAAAACGTTGATTAGAACTGTGGATTCCTTCTTGGGTCAAATTTGGAACCGTTCTGTTTTCAAAAGAAATGTTTTTACGTTCATAATCGACCAAATTCCAACCAAAACAAAGTTAAGAACTTGATCCATGAATTGTGATCAGCTTATACCTCACTTTGGTGCACACATTTTTCATTTGCCTAGGGGAGGGGTGAAAATAAATGTATCGGGGCTGGGGGAAAAAAGCCATGGAAATTTGAAATTCTTTTGATATAGCAACATGAATAGATATAGAAAATTTACAGTTTAAGGCAAAAAAATATATATAAAAAGTGATATTATAGAAACATTGATAGTCTCGAGCACGTGGTCAGGTAGAACACGTGACTGGATCTTAAAAACACCGGGAACTAGTACCTCACACTGTCATTCCATTCATCGCTTCACTGTTGAAAGCGTAAATATTTCACTTCTTTTAGTCACTTGATTTATCTTTCCAGGTCATTATGCCTCATCCAAGTGATCACTTAGGAAGTACGTCTACTTTAAACGGAGTAAGTTCTAATTCACATTATTATGTCATGTTATTTAAGCCTTTCAGCGCCATTCATTCACGTTTTTTCTTGGATTTTCTTATTTTTTCTTGTTCTTTTTAAATATTAGTTGATTAGTTGCTCATAAGGAGGCCACAAGAGGTGAATTTTTAAAATCTTTAAAGATCTTAATACTTGTACTTTTAATACTTRTGCTTCTGTGGCTCAATGCTATGCATAACATGACGTTGCATTTTAAAAGTGGTTATGGAACGATAGTTAATTTCCTCGCGTGACCGAAATTACACACCGCTGCGAGGAATAGATGGATGATTTGATATGATATTACATTTATCTATAATTTCTTGAAGTCGTAAAGTCTTTTCTATGTAATCAGATCGAAGCAGAGTTTGCAAATGTTGTACAATTTATTATATTCTTGCATAACGCAGACCACATGTTTAATTACCTGCGAATAATTATTGCATAACACTCAGACATAACACAACCCTTATATAGGGTATATGATTGACCTATTTTATTCAATGATGATACATTGAAAATCATTATATCACAGAGCACAGTGATTGTAGTAAGAATGGTAAGCTATGAATCTATTCTGGTTTCATCTTCCTTGCATGTGCACTATTTCAATCTTCTTGTGTTTACAGCTAACCTATTCAAAATAATARGTTTTAATAGTTCTTGACCTGGAATACTTTTTTGATAATTTCTGTGTTGTTTCAGAGGAGTTGAGCTAGTAGATTTTTAGTTATGTAATCATATTATGTATACACCTGGCTGTTATATAATCTAGTTCTAATATAAATTTTTAGCATTTTTATGCATCTCTATTGTTGCCACTAACAGTGTAGTAGCAAGTAGGCAAGAGTTTTTGGGAACTTGTCTAAGAAAGAGAAAATGAATCAATATTTTTTAGTTTCTTACTAAAGTTTGGCACCCAACACTCACCCAAATGTTTTCCTTCTCATGGCTTTGGCTATGATTTCATTCAAATAGCGAAGTAATGATTTTGCTGGAAATAAGTATGTTTAAAACTATATGATATTAGTGAATTACTATTTCACTTATGATAATTATTTGTTATGATATAAATGCAGGCTGGCATTATATTGATGACAGCTTCAGAAAATTGGCAACCAATAAAAATGTGTGCTAAAATGTAGTTAGCATCCAAAAAACTAGTTATAATAAAAGCCAT